TTAGCCTGCCTTTAATTAAAAACCTTAAAGCACGTAACTTTGCATTTCTATAATATTATACATGCTTAACAATGACAGTGAAATAAAGAATACCATATTTCTTGCATACGTGATTTTTCCGTTTTTGTGGTTCCCTGTAAATGTAAAATGTTTTAATTAATAACATATATGTTAATATATCCATTTGTTCACCGCCACAAATTGTCATTGCTCGATTTTGTGCCTTAATAAGGGTAATAACAAATGCTAAGCGGATTCGAAATTGTAAACATTAAAACGGTATAGGGGAATCTGAAGGAATATTTTCCATTCAAAATAAAGGCTTCAGGGATATTGTGCATGATTTTTTTAAGACTAGTCTCGTGCCATTACACAATTTCGAGATATTAAAATTTTAAAGGTAAATTGTTGTTGAGCCAATCTTCAATCGCAAATTATGTGGTGGTTCCAGTTAAACCAGTGAATTTAAAAACTCTACAAGAATTATTAATTGGCCACTTTATCAGTATCAACAACAGTGTCAATCGATTTGAATGTTATTTCATTGCCAGGTACTGTTTTTTGTATTTTGAAATTAATTTCATCATCTAAATTTTTTGCGGCTAAAATAGCTTGTTTACGTAGCTATAAGCATGATTAGTATGTCGAAAATGTGAAAAGATACTTTTTATTAAATACCCTTATGCAATATTTCCAACATACTCTCGCAACCTGTTGCTACAGAGTATAATAGTTTTGTTCACCTATCGGTTATTGTATCACCTAAAACTAATCGAGTTAGATATATGGTTATATATATATAAATGATCAGGATGAAGAGACGAGTTGAAATCCGGGTGACTGTCTGTCCGTCCGTCCGTCTGTCCGTCCGTCCGTGTAAGCTGTAACTTGAGTAAAAATTGAGATATCTTTATGAAACTTGGTAGACATGTTTCTTGGTACCGTGAGACGGTTGGTATTGCAGATGGGCGTAATCGGACCACTGCCACGCCCACAAAACGCCCCTCCCTAATGTGATCCTGTGTACCAAATAACAGTCTTGTATCTTATTGCGGAGCTTAGTTATGGCAATTTATTTGTTTTGATTAATGGCGTTTTGTGGGCGTGGCAGTGGTCCGATTACGCCCATCTGCAATACCAACCGTCTCAAGGCCAAGAAACATGTCTACCAAGTTTCATAAAGATATCTCAATTTTACTCAAGTTAGCTTGGACATGGACAAACAAGTCGGATTTCAACTCGTGTCTTCATCTGATCATTTACTATATATAACCTATATTAACTCGATTGTTAAATGACTCTAAAAACCGTTAGTGAAAAATAATCTCTAGTAACCAACATGCGGAAGTATAAAATTGTTACGTTAATCAACGCATTATTCAAAGTATTACAATCAAATTTGTGTTATATGTATAATATATTAAATTATATTTGGTATCTTATTCATATATGTATGTACATACAAATATATTTGTTCTTGTTAACTTAATAGAGTGACCTTAAGGGAGATTGGCAGCCGTTTCTTTTAAAAATAAGGTGAATCGTGACGGATGCAAGGAACGGGATGCTACTCCATTTGAAACCTTAATTTATGCCGAATAAATTGGAATACTAATTAAAAACCACGGAGGATATATACAGGAACCCATGGACGAAAGAAGGATAAGTTAAATTTTGATTTTATTTGAAAAATATTTAACACCTATTATTTGACAATGATATTTCTTATTTTGAAAAATTCAGCTTTAAAATTCGAATGAAAGATTTTCGACATATTTAAGTTTAATAAAGTAAAGCGTTAATATGTCTAAACAAATTGTTTTAAATGCAAATTCTTAAGTTACTAAATAAAACTGTGACACCTATTATTTTGTCCATAAGCGTACATATGTATAATCTTGTTTGCCATACTAGGATAATAATACGAAATAATTTAATGCTGATATTACCGTTTATAAATTTTGCAATTTAGTATTAAAATAACACTCAACCCCAAAAATTTTAATTGAGTTGTTTCGTTTTCAATCGTTTTGTAGCTGTCGACAATTACAACTGCTATTGAGTTGATTAAAGAATCCTTTTAGAAGGTTTAGGAGAAGTTAACTGCACCAGACTATATCCTTCACAAACAAAAGATTCCAAAAATACAAGACCTTGATTCTGATCGTTCGTTTGTATGACAGATGTATTATATAGTGATCCAATCTGGACATTTCTTCGGAGATTGCATTATGCCTTAGATAATTACCCATGCCAATTTATTGAAGATATTTCGTCTAATGAAGGAATGTGTATGTATATGCTATAGTGGTCCGATATCAGCAGACAACAACAAAGAGTTTCTTTGAATGGCAAACTTAAAATACCTATTCAGGGATAAAAATAGAAAGCGGATATATAGTTTTAGATTATTTTAGACTTAACACTAAAACTACGAAGATTTACCATATACCTATTTAAAGGTCTCTCTCTTTTCTTAAATTAGAAGCGTATGAACAAAATAATCTATATTCTATACAAATTTAAAAATCATGACATTATCGTAAATATTTAATGGGAATATAGAAATGGTATAAATAAATCATGCCGCCGCTCATTTGATGATTAGTTCTAGTGTTAATAATTAATTTTTAATTTTGAACAATATATAAAAACATTCCTTGAATCCTTTAAACTTTCAACACCAAGATATAAAACTTACAAGTTACAAGTAATTTTTATTAATACTTTATGCAGATTTAAAGTTTCTTTAATTTAAATAAAATTTTTGTTTTATAGCAAGATGAGCATATGTATATTTCCATATCTGTGTGTTTGCGAGAAACATTTTCATTCGCCTATTGTCGATTTAAGTCCTAAGTGTAATTAAAACACTTTGTAGCAATACAGCAGTACACTCCCATACTGTACGCAAGCTAACAACTGCCAATACGCTTAAGGGGTGTGGCCAGTTTAAAAAAAAAAACAATAACTGAAGCTACAGTACCCTTCCCAAATATAAGAGATCAGTTCAATGCCAAATTTCGTTGATATCTCTTCAAATGAAAAAGTTCCCATACAAGCACTTGATTCTGTTCATTCAGTTTGTAAGGCAGCTACATGCTATAGTGGGCCGTTATCGGCGGTTCCAACAAATTAACAGCAACTTGGGGAGAAAAAGACGTGTGCAAAATTTCAGATCTTTAAAACTGAGGGACTAGTTTGTATATATACAGACAGACGGACAGACAGATGGATATGGCTAAATGAACTCAGCTCTTCATACTGATCAAATATATATGGTATATATTTTTTATTTGTTACAAACGTTGTGGCATATTTAATAAACGCAGCTCAGGGTATAAAAAACAAAGTATACCTAAGTATGTACATATATTATATTAGATTTTTTGGCTTAAATAACACTTAAGGTATTAAAAACATTTGTTGAATTGTGGCAAGAAATGTTTTTCCTTGAATTCGCTGCTTTGCCGAAGCGTTCGGATGTGTCCCTTTCGCCTTTTAAAACTTTAAATAAGCTTTTCTCGGAGCTCCATTTTTCGAATCGGACAGCGATAATACACGAAGACTATCTTTCGTATTCATTTGGAATTTGAACCGCAGCTTCGCAGGAACAATGTCATGTGTTATGTATGTATATACAATACAAACAATTTGCTGCTAACTGTTTCGGTAAAAAAAGTTTCGTACTTTACTAGCAGATAGCACGAGATCACTCAAAGAAGCCCTCTTGAAAAATATCATTCTGAAGACTTGCCAAGTAGAAGTCATTAATTTTATCAAAATGCCAATTCAAATTTTTTTTCATACAAAAATATATGTAAAACGCTTAAGAGATTTCGCTTTTTCTAATTTCCATAATAAATGATCATGTTATTTGATAATGGTTTAGACCGCCAGACTGCCCTAATCCCTTAAAATATTGAGGAAGAATAGCAGCAGAAGATCTATACTCAACAAAAGCTGTTGCTGTTCGATCGAACTGTAGTTTCAGTAAAGCTTCTGCCACTTCACAACTCCGTCTGTGCAATTTAAACGAAAGTACAAATAATATTGGCGGCGTTGCGCAAATTGGCATTTCTCAATGTCACGCGTCTGTGAATTGACTTGAACAGCTGGGAAGGATGGCAACAAAACGGATTCATAAGTACTAGCTAACTACCGCGCATACAGCACACAGAAGCAACAAACAAAACGAGAGAAATGCAAACGAAATGCGGGTAATTACAAAACAAATTAAAAATTACACTCATTTATTCAACTTTGCACATTTGCAGCAAATTTTTTCATGCGCTCAATGCTTGTTGGCTACTTTTGCTGGTTCTTGTTTGCAGCATCAGCGAAAGTTTGCGCTAAAATTGCTAAATATGTATGTATATGTATACAATTAAGCTTACATTCAAACTTGAATATGTGTGTGCGCGAATTATTTTTCAGTTATATACTTGTATGTATTTATGTGAAATGACATGTTTAACTTTTTTGCTGGAACTTGTATTGCCCTAAAGCCTTGGCATCAACACCATACGTAATTAAAACATACGTCGAGCATTAATTGGTAGCTCTCCAAAGGCGGGTATAAAATCAATTTTTCAAGCATATTAAGTTTGTATGTAGCTAGTTTGCAGCGAATATAAAGACGCTATAATTCCCCAGTGTTCAAAAACATTACTTGAGTAGATTGCCTCAATCAATTTAATTAATTTGAATTTGTATTAAATTTCATATGCGGACAATGAGCGGGCAATGTCAAGGTTCAAAGAGTTATCGTAACCTGGTGATAAATTCAACAAAAATAGTGTTATGATTTTCTAATGTATGTGGCTCGCGACGCAGGAAGAAAATATTTAGACTTCATTTCAACTACAAAAACTCCTTAGAGATTCTAAAACTGTTCTGTTGAGAAATAAGTTAAAGATAAAGCTGTGGCTTTAAATACAACTGCCTTGCATTATCATGTTACCACTACAAAGAGGGATTGCGGCTTCGCAAGCGATCCAGTGAGTATTTTTCAACAACCCGCTAGATTTAATATATTTGTGTTTGTTTCATCATTTCAGCCCAATTTTCTTTAACTTAGAATATGTATTAAGCACAACGGTAGGTATCCTGTCTCAACCGGCTGGAAGCTGGCCATTTCCGAAGTCAAAGTTCTAATGTTTTCTCAGTCTCAGCACATGTCCGACATTATGTCTATTCTTCCTTAATTAGTTTGAGAAATAAATTAAAACAGAATTTCAGTGCGTTTATCTTTAGGATAGTACGGAGTTCCTTTTGTGTAAAGGTAAAAGCTTTTTTGTACTATGCACTAACCATACTACCCCACAGTAGTTCTGTGATAGTCCCTGTAACGGTGTTGTTCCTGTATATGTATATTTATTTGCTATTTAATGAAAACATGATACATTTCTTACTTACATTTATCTCGCAACCTGTTGCTACAGAGTATAATAGTTTTGTTCACCTTACGGTTGTTTGTATCATCTAAAGCTAATCGAGTTAGATAAAGTGTTATGTACAATATATATAAATGATCAGGATGAAGAGACGAGTTGAAATCCGGTGTCTGTCCGTCCGTCCGCCCGTGCATGCTGTAACTTGAGTAAAAATTAAGATATCTTTATGAAACTTGGTATACATGTTTCTTGGTACCGTGAGACGGTTGGTATTGCAGATGGGCGTAATCGGACCACTGCCACGCCCACAAAACGCCCCTCCCTAATGTGATCCTGTGTACCAAATAACAGTCTTGTATCTTATTGCGGAGCTTAGTTATGGCAATTTATTTGTTTTTGATTAATGGCGTTTTGTGGGCGTGGCAGTGGTCCGATTACGCCCATCTGCAATACCAACCGTCTCAAGGTACCAAGAAACATGTCTACCAAGTTTCATAAAGATATCTCAATTTTTACTCAAGTTACAGCTTGCACGGACGGATGGACAGACAGTCACCCGGATTTCAACTCGTGTCTTCATCCTGATCATTTACATATATATAACCCTATATTTAACTCGATTAGTTTTAGGTGATACAAACAACCGTTAGGTGAACAAAACTATTATACTCTGTAGCAACATGTTGCGAGAGTATAAAAATGGTACGTTATAAATCAACATGCATTATTCAAAGAAGAGTATTACAATCAAATTTGTGTTATATGTATAATATATTAAATTATATTTGGTATCTTATTCATATATGTATGTACATACAAATATATTTGTTCTTGTTAACTTGTAGAGTGACCTTAAGGGGAGATTGGCAGCCGTTTCTTTTAAAAATAAGGTGAATCGTGACGGATGCAAAGGAACTTTGGGATGCTACTCCATTTGAAACCTTTAATTTATGCCGAATAGAATTGGAATACTAATTAAAAACCACGGAGGATATATACAGGAACCCATGGACCGAAAGAAGGATAAGTTAAATTTTTTGATTTTATTTAGAAAAAAAATATTTAACACCTATTATTTTGACCAATGATATTTCTTATTTTGAAAAAAAATTCAGCTTTAAAATTCGGAATGAAAGATTTTCGACATATTTAAGTTTAATAAAGTAAAGCGTTAATATGTCTAAAACAAAATTGTTTTAAATGCAAATTCTTCAAAGTTACTAAATAAAAACTGTGTACACCTATTATTTTGTCCATAAGCGTACATATGTATAATCTTGTTTGCCATACTAGGATAATAATACGAAATAATTTAATGCTGATATTACCGTTTATAAATTTTGCAATTTAGTATTAACAATAACAGCTCAACCCCAAAAAAAATTTTAATTGAGTTGTTTTCGTTTTTCAATCGTTTTGTAGCTGTCGACAATTACAACTGCTATTGAGTTGATGTAAAGAATCCTTTTAGAAGGTTTAGGAGAAGTTAACTGCACCGAAGCTATATCCTTCACAAACACAAAAGATTCCAAAAAAATACAAGACCTTGATTCTGATCGTTCGTTTGTATGACAGATGTATTATATAGTGATCCAATCTGGACAATTTCTTCGGAGATTGCATTATTGCCTTAGATAATTACCCATGCCAAATTTATTGAAGATATTTCGTCTAATGAAAGGAAATGTATGTATGTATATGCTATAGTGGTCCGATATCAGCAGACAACAAAAGAGAGAGTTTCTTTGGGAGTGGCAAACTTAAAATACCCTATTCAGGGTATAAAAATAGAAAGCGGATATATAGTTTTTAGATTATTTTAGACTTTAACACTAAAACTACGAAGATTTACCATATACCTATTTTAAAAAGGTCTCTCTCTTTTTCTTAAAATTAGAAGCGTATGAACAAAATAATCTATATTATTCTATACACAAATTTAAAAAAAATCATGACATTATCGTAAAATATTTAATGGGAATATAGAGGAAATGGTATAAATAAATCATGCCGCCGCTCATTTTGACCGGTTCGTAGTTCTAGTGTTAATAATTAATTTTGTAATTTTGAACAGATATATAAAAAACATTCCTTGAATCCCTTTAAACTTTCGAACACCAAATTATAAAAACTTACAAGTTACAAGTAATTTTTTATTAATACATACTTTTATGCAGATTTAAAAGTTTCTTTAATTTAAATAAGAAATTTTTTTTTGTTTTTGTAAGCAAGATGAAGGAACAATTCTTATGTAATTACTGACCTTTAGAAAATACTTGACAATGACGGTGTATTTATGGTTAAAGGGAAACTCCCAGATACTGCCTACGAGGACAGGCCCTCCATACAAATACAACTGAACAACTTTTAATTTACTGTAGCTATAAATTCCGGATTTTCCCGTCCATAGGAGTACTTAAGTCTTACCCGATCATACAGCCCTAACATTGAGAAGAGAGTGGGGAAGTTATTGTTTGCCTTATACTGCTGCTACACTTGCTAAGCAACTAGAAGATGTTCAGAGAGCGGCTCTTATTTATATCTGTAGTGCACTATGGAAAATACTAATGTTTGCATCAATTCGTTTCTACAAACACTCCTTGGGTATAGCCGATACCTGCATTGCTGCGAAGATTATTGTTAGACACAAGCAAACCGGGTCCATTAATGCTCCTAAAAAGAGAAATCCCGAAATTCTCTATAACTACGACTCCATCCCTGTAGACTTGGACTATTCGCTGAATCTACTCCTTGTAGTTTCTTAGGTCCGTTCCAGTTACGTAGATCCGACTGTCATGGGAACGGTTTCCTCTGTCTTCTTGTGTTCTTGCTATGAAATTTACGTGAGCAGCAAGCGTTGGTCAACAACCAACACCATTACGGCTGCAGGATCCTTCTGGGCAAAAGTGGAACACAAGAGGTTCATTGCAATATTTGCCCTCGCAAATCTCGCAAGTCTTGTTTGACTCCAATTTTTACATACCTTTCGAATATTATTGTTAAAAACTAGAAAGGTGTAAGATGTTATCAAATGGAATCAAACAAAAAAGCTCAAATATAGCGCGCAAAAAAGTAGCAAATCGAAGATGACTTACAAATCTAATTTCTACAATTTCATACTATAAGTCATATACAGAGGAGCATTAAACTCATTTGGAATAGAAAAGAATAAATGTAAATATATGTAAATTTATTCCAAATGCGCCTAAAACCAGGCAAAGTTTATTTTAATAATGAGTAACAGTTAAAAGTGAATCGATTTTTTTTTTTTTTTCAACTGATTAATCCGGAGTTTTCAACGTTCTGATAATATCGTCAATTCTAGTCGGTTTCGATTTATATTATTCAGCATTCTAGCCAAACAAAACTAATACTAATGATAACAAACAAACGCAATGATGGAATGATGAAGGTAGTAATATAATTTTAGGAATGTCGCCTAGTTGAAAGTCCTTGATCGAGTAAAAAATCTCGGTCCGTTCTGACTGCGTAAACCCGATAAAGGATAATACTTTATTATATTATAAATAATCTAAGTAGTTACTGATTTTGAAAGTTTACTATTATGAACTACATATATTCAGTCAGTATCAAATCCTATCTCTACACAACACTAATGGCATTAAACCACTAGAGTAAAAAAATAAAAATTGCATACATTAAAAACGTAACAATAATGCAATAACGTAATTTATAAACAAACATGCGTAAATATTGAAGTTAATTTTTTTTTTTATAGCGACAACGACGAATATATTCTATGTACATCTAACATATGTATGTATATATGCATATGTATTCTATAAAATTTTTCTCATAAATTATTAGCTTTTTGGCATATTTTTGTATTAAATAATAAAGCTTCTGTTACCCCATCGATAAATACTTTCCATTTGCGCTACTTTTTGCATATGACACGCGAAAGTTAGCTACTGGCTTGCGCGCGCACTTTACAACCACGATACCGCAATGAAATGTCAAAAATAACAAACTGCATCCACGCGGCGAGTAATGCCTCGCATGCAAACGCGACCGCCAAAATCGGGAAAGCTGGCGCGAAAACCTCAACTTTGCCGCCGAAAATTTGGGGGCAAAGAATAACAAAAATAGACAATATAACCTGAAACACTACCGTCGAATAGCTGAACGCGCACACGCCCTTGCTGAAAAAGTTAAACAGCTAAAAATTAAAAACATTTAGATTTCTTGTCATATATACCATAACTTTATAATTGAATATTCAAATGAATATGCTTTCACAAAAAAATTCATTCATATTTGCAACTCGCATGTATCTTTTCTAAATCATTTTCCAAACATTCATACAACCATACCTATGTACATACAAATGAGCACATACACAGCAAAGCAGCTACGTTTGGCTTAAATCAAGGAAATCACTGCTTTTTAGGTGAACTGCATCAAAATACTAACCAGTTGTTATAATTGCGCCAAAACAGATGATCGGGGCGCCAAATCAACAGCAACAACACCTACACCACTATAGCAACAATATTGTCAATTCATTTCGCGCATTCCCCAAAAGACGACGACAGCGTCAAGAGCGTACATCCAGCACTATAATAGAGAAGTGAAGTTTGTGGGGCGAAATATATGAGAGAATATATACTATTTGGCGAACCCAATACGCGTGAATTCTACCCGCTACTTTTTACACGACGTCAGAGCCAGTTAATCTGGCTTTGTTTCGCCGTGTACCTACATATTGAGATTCACGTTCTGTTATATCAGCTGTTTGTCGTTTACTTTTGCATGAGTGTGATGGCACAAATAATGCCAACGTTTTCACTTTGTGCCAGTCTGATAACAAAATAATTTGATGGTTAATTATATGCAACATATCAAGTTTATTGAAGTATGTAACTGCAGATATCTCTATTCAACGACACATTTATATACTTATATTTTATAGCGTGCAAACAAAACTTCCACATACATAGGTTTAAAACTTGAAAAAAGAAAGAATCTTCGTAGCTTTTCCGATTTCAAATGAGTGAGGCAATATCGCGATGTTGTGGAAAAAGTAAAATTATGTTATAAATTAACATGACCTTGTAATAATATTCCTTCGCCGATTTAAAATAAAATCACTTCATCAGCGCCGACCCACTGCAAAACTATTACCCCCCATTTCATCAACCCCCCATTTCATCAACCCCCCATTTCATCAACATGTGATCAACCCTTGATTTAGTAGACCCAGTTTTCATCCACGTATATTATAACGTATAAGTAAGTACCTCAGTGAAACACTAATTAACTATCTCAGTAAAACTCAAAAACTAAGACTACAAAAAAAGTGCCGAGGGAAAAACCTTTTAAGATACAACACTATTTACAATACTAACAAATAGCAACAAATATACACAGAGTCGACACCACGTCGAAGCAATTTCTGCGTTTTGAAAGCTGACTTTCGAAGAATAATTCGCTTATTTTATGAATAAAAACATAGGCATGTGTGGTATGGAATAAGAGGATATATATCCAGGAGTCTAATTCTTAAACGCTACTTATAATCTGGTCCGGATTTCACTAACTATCAACATTTATATTAAACAATTTTGGCGCGCGCGGGCTTTTTGACGGCCGATATAACAGCGAAATGGGCAAATACTTATCTGAAATGTAGCGATTCGCAGCGAAGTTTTTGCTGAAATGCCAATACGCGCGAGAGAGAAGTCTGGAGGAGTATATAACAACGAGGGCCACATAAGTCAATTTTTTTTAAAGAAAATTTGCTACAGATCGAGAATTATAAGAACAATTTAAGAATCATATTAAAATATCAAAAAATTTAATTTTATATGAAGAAATATTGCAACAATCTTTATACATATGTATATCCATTGTCGAGCCATGGAAACACTTTAAGTAAACTTTAGTTAACAAAATTAGCAAACTCATAGTGCAATTAGAGAACACCCAAATGCATACATAAAGTTGTAAATGGTTGCGATCAAGCTGACACATTTCAACATGACACCATTGAATTCTTCACCAAAATAACAGGTGCAACTAGACTGATATATCACCGTGAATACCAATACACATCCTGCATAATGCACATTTTACTTACCAATATATCTTCCTAACAAATATTTCAGTACTATGGACTAGAGACTTTTGTTGAATTTCTCCTAGTGCCAATGCTCCATTCAATGTTTAAACGGCTGCTTACTTTTCATAGTTTTCCCAAACCATCATGAAACAAGATCCAAAACTGCCACTCGAAAATCACAGGTTGCTATAACTAATACCTAGCACATAACCAAAGCCTTTCAGCCACGCGTTGACTTTTACTTGAGCACAATTAACACCACAAAAATAAAATGGTATCAGATGTTTCGTCGACACTTTAGCAATAGCAAAGGAAATATTCCTCATTCGATCAAATTATAAAATTTTACTTTTGCCAATTGTTCCCTAACGAATTTAAATATTTTATCAGGAATAAAGCAGCGACGATATTAAAAAACCAAAACCGAGTCAGAAATTGTAAGCGGCTTTAGCTGCAAACAGCAAAGACAAAGATGATGCTCTCTCACTGCCGTAACCACAATTTCGCCGGGAATAACCATTGAGAGGCGCGCTATTTGACAGCTGTCAGCTGATCATGTCGATTCATTCAAAGAATAAACATATGAAAGTATCTTAGGTTCTAATCTTTGATAAGTAGGACGGAATGTCCATAAACATTCTTTTCGGCAATTTTATGTGGATATGATTTAAAGAGTATTAAGTTTTGATTGATATAAAGTGGTGACACAACCTTAATTCTAGAACTAATCACCATATTTTATATGGTCCAAGATTATAGTAAATATTTTCAATGAATATTAATTATTTTTAAAGCAAGTTTTTTTTTCGTATTGTGGAGAAGCTTACAGTTTGTTTAGTCAAATAATAATCGTTTATATATAATTTATATTATAATTTTATAATTTAAGCCATAAATTGTTAAACTATAAGATAATCTTATGATACCAAACAATTATAATTTTAAATAATACGTAAATATATGTTATATATGCGAAAATTGTGATGATAATTAATATAACCTGACAAAAAAAACTTTGATAAACTGCAGTGGGTGAAACTGTCGACAAAACGTAGAGATACTGTTGTATGAAGTGTTAAACATTTTGGTATACAGTAACCTACCAAAATGGCAGACTTTGAAACAAATTTCGTTGTTTTGCTGAAAAAATTTGATGATTTTTGGCCCTCAAAATCACATTTTTCATACAATCTAAAATATAGGTAGGTCGAGTTTTAATGTGGCCAAAATGCAGTTTTGAGACAAAGACGTTCAAAGATAAGCTATTTTTAAAGAATTTAGGATATGTGTGCATTTCTAATATTTATATTTTCATCTCATTTTATTATGATATTTCAAACAATTATCGAAAATAACACGAAAATACAATCCTAGGTACAGAGGTCATTGTTGTATGGGGATTAGGAATATATATAGGTAGTCAGAATAGGAGGAAAGTTGCCACAAAACAGCTGAACTATCCATTTTTATTATTCAAAAATCAGCAAAATACTTATTTCCGTCGTCCGGCACATCCTACAGTTAATATCATATTTTTTAAAGGGTTAATAATAAAAGTATTTAAATATTCAGCTGTTTGCGAAACTTTATATTATACAAGTGAGGAAGGACTAAATTTGGCTGTAATCGAACATTTGATACTCTCGGAACTTGGGAAGATCAATGCAGGGAAAATTAAAAAATGTTGCACATGTATTCAATATGCATTATTTGAAGAAACCGAACGGATTACAATCAAATTTGGTATCTTATTAACTTATGTACATACATATATTATAGCTCATTGATTCACTTAACTTCATTACTACATTTTGCTTTTCCAAAAATATTTATATTAAAATTCAGCTCATTAACTCAAATGAAATGTTTGTGATATAAACTCAACCAAAGGGGCTATATTTAATAACTGCGCCAGTGGCGTACCTACCTTGGGTGGCACCGGTGCGGAAGTTGGTGGTGTCACCCTAAGGAAAGTAAAAAGCAATAAATGTTGTATGATAAAGGACATGAATCATTTATTATTTATAATATTGAAGAAATAACAAAACGCAATAATAACTAAAACAGAAAAGGAATTGTTATACAATTAAAATTTCTTCTTTCTAGCTTTGGCAGCTGCAAACTCATCGAAATTTATAATTTGTATTGCCGCGACCGATACCAAGATAGCAAAGCCGCGATTGGGTCATTGTTGCCCGCAAATAGTTTTTTATTAATTTTAATTTACTGAAACTCCTCTCATATGAAGTTACGGACACGCAAACCGTCATGAACAATTTCAGTGCAATCATAAGATTTGAAAGAGATTCAGAAAAATCTCATTCTACAATAAAGTAACAATAAAAAAAATCTAGAGACACCCAATCAGAAACCGTATATATAGAGCTGAGCTAGTGCTAGTGGAGGAGTCCCCGAAAAAGAAATCCAATCGAATTATAGGAAGTTATTATATTAGCGATATGATTTTTAGCCAAGGTCTGGATCAATTCGATTCATAGTCAGCGATAAACCTCATTATTTTTAAGAAAATTTGTCCACTTATTTCCACATATGTTGACCAGCATAAACGCTTTAAGGTCAGATGAAAAGTCAAAATGGAAAAAATCACTAAATCGAGTATACTGGAGATAGGGGAAGCTCTGAACTGGTTGCATTAACGTTTGACAATACTCAAGTATACTTGCGAATATGTTTGCACGCACTTATGTAAAGATAATTCCCACTGACCGACATATTGGGCACAAAGTCTGCTAGACTAACGAAAATCATTATATCCATTATGTGGGAGCTGGTGTAATTCGTGGACCAATTTCACACATTTTCGGTATTAGACTATAGTGTATCCAAAACTATTCGTTCACCTAACTTTACTAATATACCTATATCATACATATATGTAGGTGGATATATACGCAGGGCGCCGAGAGAAAAACCGGGCCCAGGGATAAAAAGGTGGGGGCCCCCTCCCTGTAGGAATATTTCTAATACTTTAAAACTTTATTAACTATCTTCCCACTTACTACATCCATGTTTTTAAAGAATAAGTCAAATACAACGTAGTGTTTTATGCTCTCATCACATCTGTATTAAAACGATGCAAATATTTGGGAAAAGTCTTGACACTCAATATCTTCTACCGAGTCGACTTCAACCAAATTCAACATGTGGGGTGCCCACAGAGGGAGAGATTTTACTCTCCTTCATACAAGTATTTACTGCTAATATTACTATCATTATCGTAGCCATGTCCACAGCTATCTTCCAATGTTTTGCAAACTAAAGTAGCAATAACTTTGCCGGCTTTTTCGTGACAATCTACAAACTCGAGAAAACATTCCTTTAACTGTAATCAAAATGTTTAAATAAATGTTCGAATTAATTATCTATCAAAAGCATTCTAATTTCTAACTATTCACTTAAATTTTTGAAAAATACGGGCTCCTTCGAGAATACCGGATCCAGGCAGATTTCCTCTGAATTCCAATAAGATATCTTACATATTTAGAGATATAGGCGATAGGCAGAAGTTTGAAATTCTTTATATTAGGTATATAGGGGCTGGAAGAAGTAATGATCCGATTTTACTTCTTTTTGGCCTAAAGTGATATTTTCAATTGTTGTTCTTGGAAAGTTTTATTACAATAACGTCAATCACTCTCGATTTACTGTACAATAAAAGATTCAAATTTAGTAATGTAATATAGTAATGTTCGGATTATGATACACACTAAATTTGGTTAAAATTGGTCGAGTAGTTCCTGAGATATAGGATTTCACCGAAAGATGGGCGTTGCCATGCTCATTGTCCAATTTTGATACCGGCAACTATAAAGCCCCTTAATATCATATTGGATGTGAAATTTATTGCTTCTGACGTGTTCATTTAGTGAGTAATCGCATTTTTAGTACGAGTAGTTTTCAAGATAACCGTTATATGGGAAGTGGGCGAAAGTTATCACCCGATTTATCCCATTTTCACTGTGTGAGAGGAAGCGCTAAAAAGATAATTTTTTTTTAGTGGTTTGTTAGATATGTACATTAAAGTTATTAAAGGGCGAGGTTTTTAATTGACAACGGTCTGATTACACTCATCAGCTATACCTTCTCATGGTGGCAAGAGACAGGTGTTCCAAGTTTCATCAAATTACCTAAATTTTTACTCAACAGCTTACTTACAGCTTGCACAGATGGATGGACGGACTGTTTAGTCACACAGTTTTAACTCGTTTCATCATTCTGATCATTTATATATGTATATATATACCTATAACTTTCTCGATTAGTTTTAGGTGAACAAATCTATTATACTTGTACTCTGTAGCAACAAGAGCAATAAAAATAATGTTTAAAATTTGTTATTCAAGGAACCGTAACAATCATTTTGGGTATCATATAAACTTATATTATAGGGTTAGTTGCAAGTTGCCATCAAAGATGTCAGATTATATAAGACAATGCGAGAGATTGGAGTAAGTATTGAATAAATGTCAGCTATAACAAACAATTTATTTTCTATAATTACAAAATTTTTCACTTTGGAAAACAAATGGACTGTATATGGGGGCTTTAGGAAGTATCAACCTTATGTTATTCATTTTGGCACCATAGCACACTATTATCAGGACAAGATTCTCTCTGAATTTCATTGAGATATCTCAGATATTGACTGATATTTTTGATATATAGTCAACTTAAGTTGCTGAAGTCCTTACAACCGGTATATGGGCCTTAAAACGTGAGAGTCTGATTTCGATAATTTTTGCATGAGAGGCGCCAATCCATGAAGACACTGTTTGCGCACAGTTGTCCAAAGTCTTCATTGGTGCTTGAGTTATATTTTGCGAAGTGAAAGAATCAGATGAAGTTTAAAATTGTGTTATATGAAAAGTAGACGTAGTTGTAGTGTGATTTCGGTCAACTGTGTCCTAAAGGTGGTGATTCCCCGTCGTTTTCTCCTAGATCTTTTTCCTACCTACAAGAAGAAGTGGATGAAAATTGCAGTAAAGAAAAAATGTAATTCAAAAGAAACACTTTCTACGTCAAACTTGTAAAATACATAAACCAATCGTTCTCATTTCTATGACAGTTCCTTGATATGGCAGTCCGTTGATGTACCACATCTGATAAGTTTCCAATGAAGCTATTCACCTCAGACACCCCGTTTACTCGTTTCTGTTTGAAGTTGTGAACATTCGTTTCAGGAGTAGCTACACTATGCCTAGAGGCAGAATTAGCCATGAAGTTGGATTTCTAGACTATTACCGATGCATTCGCTGCCGCCAAAGCTCTAAAAACTCACTCTTAAGTTCCAAATAATTGAATTTTGGAGTATTTTAAACTGCATATCCAAAACCCTAATCACGATAGGCAACAGATTTCAAAATATCCGTTGTTTCATCGATTGATATATAAATGTTTAAATGAGATTATTCTGTCTTCTTATTAATTATCTTGCTATCCATATATTCCTATATTTCGGTATATTCTGGAAAAATATTTTTGACTGAATGTCTATAAACTGATTTATACATTATTGATTTTCGAAATCGTACAAATGAAATTTGTTCGACCCCAACATCAACAAGAAAGCAAATTTAATACAGATGTGATGATAGCATAACCACTATGTCGTATTTGACATATGTATTCTTCAAAGGCAGTGAAGTAGTAAGAGAGAAAATATTTAATAAAATTATAGTATTAGAAACATTCCTGCGGGAAGGGGGCCCCAACTTTTTGACCCTTGGGCCTGGTTTTTCTCTTGGCGGCCTACACACTACACAAGAAAACAGGCATCATATGGAATCGCACACTGCAAATCGAGGTCCAAAGCCTGGGGTGACATTTGTCTACTATGTCACAAACTCTTCGACATGGAAAAGGTCGGTATTGCACGAAGTAGCGAATGCCAAAATCATTTGGCACAAAGACCACAGCCGTCAATCTGCAGATCCAGGGTTGCGTGAGAGATGGCGCAACCATGTTGAGGACCTATGCCCCAGCGAGAAGCTGTCATCAATTCATATGTCTGCTATTGTTGTTGTTGTAACTGTAGAAAAAATGTTAAATTAATAATTTTTAAAAATGATACATTGACTGGATATATATCCGCGTCTGTTCCATTACGTAGTCCTGACAGTCAGGGAAACAGTGTGCTGCACAATAGTTTGGATAAGGTGCTAGGATAGCGAGAGTTAGCCAGGTATATTTCACAAAGAACGAATTGTAATTTTTGGCAGCTTTCAAGAGATCAGCAATGGTAACAGTGTAATAGATAGTTAATGGTTAAAAATTTCTGGATTTCATTAATAAACATTTTTTCTAGGAATACAGAATCAGGGAGGTAAACTGATGCAGTCACTACTGATTAAGGTGTCATATACATAAGATGAGACCTCGGAGGAGACGGCACAATTTACCAAAAGGCAATAGCTCTACAACTGAAACTTAGAAAATCCGTTAACATAGACGTGCTGTTTTTCTAGTAACAGCAAACCCCCATAAAATTATAAGAAACATTATCGGACATAAATCTGTGTGAAAAGGTTTCGTACAACGATTTTCATCGTACAGTTTGTATGTCAGTTATATTGTGGTCCGATATCGGCGGTATCGACAAATGAGCAGTTTCTCTTCATACCTAAGGATAAGTTCGCGTATAGATATACAGATAAACGGAAATCGCCTCAGGTTGTCATGCTTATCATTTATATATATATTTTATAGGATCTCCGACGTTCCATTTTGGGTGTTACAAACTTCGTGACAAACTTAATATGGCTTGTTCATTGCATAACTAATAGCAAAAATTACCTCAAGTAATTGGTTTTCATGTATGTCTGCACTCTTCCCTTTTTCTAATGAACGCGGTAATTACGAACTCCCGTGCCGTTCAAAATGACAAATCATAAAAATTATCTCAAACGGACGGTAACAATTAAAATTTAAATTATTTTATTAACAGTTTTGAACTTCATAACATTAACATAAAATACACCTACTATAAAAAATTAGGGCATTTTTATACTTACATATGTATGTACATATGTGTACAATATCTTAATGACACACAACGAACTGTTCACTAAAATATTATTGCCGTATTTGCATTCGATTTCGATTTCGAGTTCATCTTATTCTTATTTGTAACTCAACCACAAATTCACAAGAACTTCACATTATAACCACATAGGTATTATTATATGAAGCAACACACTTTCACCTTTGCATATTTTGTAAAATATCAATTAATAATATATAACGACACAATAAATTTCAAAACATATTACACTTATGTTTTTTTAGAGGCAGAAGTAGACATACAACCATCTAAAAGCAAATACGAAACAGTTTTTATTATAAACATAAATTATCCAAGCCTATTAGAAGTACAATGGTTTATTTGTTTGGTTCCAATTCCTTGTACGAATAGTGCATCAATCTGATAAAATTCACGAAAGAAATGGCGTAAAACAACTAACCTGACAATGCTAAAGAAAAAAGAAAAAATAACACGATCAGCGAATTTCTGCGTAAAAGACATAAAATAAAACTTATAAACGAAACTGTCGACTTGACAGCTTTCAATTATTATTAATAAAAGCTGCAATATTTTTTGTTGTTATACTTACTTTTCACCTTCCTCTGAGAATTATTATTAATAAAAGCTGGAATATTTTTTGTTGTTATACTCACTTTTCACCTTCCTCTGAGAAATTTCTGTTCGATTTTAAAGTTTTTCTATATCAATCATTTATTTTCTTTAATTTACTGTATAATTTTTTTTTTTTTAAATTGCAGCTTGTTTGAACCCACGAGCTGCATAATCGGATGGTTGTGTACGGTCCGAAACTTTTGGATATCCCTGATCACCTGGATTGCAGGCAGGACGTGAAGTGATTACACGCCAACCTCCCTTGCGTGTCCAGTCCTAAAAGTTTCAAAGACATTAGATAAGAGATTAAAAACAAAATTAAAAGTTTTAGTTCTGAATTACTTACAAAAAGTATGTACAATATAATAATATATTTCATACAAATATTTAGTTTATAAAGAACTTACGTTTTGATTATACTTAAAATAGTAAGCACCCGCGTAAATCGCTGCAATGGCCATAGCAAATTTTCCAGTCCAAAAGCGAATTGTATATGCGCGTTGTGTACCCTACAAGATATTTAAATATGTTACATGTGTGTTAAAAACTTCTCTTTCAGGAAATCCAAATTTTTCTATTACATAACATTAAACTGTATCAATTTTGCATCATTGCACATACCAGCACTGGAGTTAGTGCTTCTCCAAGCTTATCTAGAGGGAATCTGTAGAATCGTTTGATAGGGTTCTGTAATTCTTTCTCTAATTCGGGTACTATGCGTGGCCCATGGTGCAACTCCAGATCTTTCAACCATTGCTTGCGCCATGCGCGTTCATCATTTGACATTCCAATCAGACGCTCCCGTTCGCGTAGCATGCGCCCGGCAATGGGCATGGGCTTCACTCCACCCGTTTCTGAAGAAACCATTTCTTTTTTTATCTAAAAGTTTGTGTTTTTGTATTAATTGAAAAATAACAATTAATGAAAATTTTATCTATACTTTCTAACGAGCGAGCAAAAACAATAAAATCTCGTTTGACAGGCCACTCGAACAGCTGATCCGCCAAAATACGGTATTCAACAAACATGTCAAAAACGATAGATTAGTACTAAATTTTTAGTACATTTTTAGAACTATTTATACCAACAAGAATATAGAAGTTATGAAATATTGTATGAAATCTTTGTAAATATTTAATATTATAATGTTTTTTAAATAAGTTTTAAGATTCAAATGTATTTAATTGTTATTCCTTCTCCAAGAAAAAAAATTTACATATATATATATATAAAATGTTTCATACAGTATCTCCAATATACAGTACTACCAATGATCCTTATTTCTTTATATTCTGCAACATTACAACCCGTAAATAATTTTGACGTTTGTAATTGTGTAAATTAACGTGATCTTTCTGTTCAATTCCACACCTTAATTAATTTAATATTTTAAATTAGTAAATAATGGCAGATGTTGACGATTTATTTGATTGTTTTAATGAAAACAACGATGATAGCATAGCCGCCAATCCAGTTGTAGAGTTAGAAAAAATTAAATCAGCGGATTCTTTAGAAGAAAGGTATACATATATGCAAACATACCAAAATCTGTTCGCCTAAAACTTTTTGGTTACTTTTTAGGAGAGCTGAAAGTGGAGAAAAGCGTGGTAGTGAAGCTATTAAAGAAGAGTCAGAAAATGATGAGGCTCCACAAAAACGTATAAAAGAAACTGAATCAATATTAGACGATATTTGTGTGGACGCATTACGTTCTCGAATAGCTGTGCACGTTATTGAGAGTCCAGAGTCGTGTACACATGAAGTAGCTGTATATCCCGACCAAGAATATATACCTTTGCAAGCGCTTACTGGACCACCAGCAAAAGAATACCCCTTTGTATTAGATCCCTTTCAAAAAGAAGCAATTATTTGCATTGATAATCAGCAAAGTGTTTTAGTGTCAGCGCACACATCCGCAGGCAAGACTGTGGTAGCCGAATATGCTATTGCTAAATCTCTGGGATGCAAGCAGCGTGTAATTTATACCACGCCTATTAAAGCGCTCTCCAACCAAAAATATCGAGAATTCAATGAGGAATTTAAGGATGTTGGATTGGTAACTGGAGATGTGACAATAAACCCATCAGCTTCTTGTCTTATTATGACTACAGAAATTTTGCGGAATATGTTATACAGAGGAAGTGAAATTATGCGTGAAGTAGGTTGGGTCATATTCGATGAAATTCATTATATGCGAGACAAAGAAAGAGGTGTCGTATGGGAGGAAACGTTAATTTTACTGCCTGACAATGTACGCTACGTATTTCTTTCTGCTACTATACCAAATGCTCGACAGTTTGCCGAATGGGTTTGTCATCTTCACAAGCAACCATGTCATGTAGTTTATACGGATTATCGACCGACTCCTCTGCAACATTACATATTTCCAGCTGGAGGCGATGGCATACATCTCATAGTTGACGAGAAAGGCCAGTTTAAGGAAGATAATTTTACTACAGCAATGGCGGTTTTGCAAAATGCAGGTAGGTTTACTTTTTCCGGCTAGTTTGATATGAATTAACATATCCAATCTTTTATCAGGTGATGCAGCTAAAGGTGATCAAAGAGGACGTAAAACTGGTATTCGAGGTGTTGACAGTGGGCAGTCCAACATTTTTAAAATAGTCAAAATGATAATGGAACGAAATTTCGCACCTGTAATAATCTTTTCATTTAGTAAAAAAGATTGTGAGGTATATGCTATGCAGATGGCAAAGCTAGATTTTAATACCACTGAAGAAAAAAAACTGGTAGATGAGGTGTTCAATAATGCAATGGATGTACTTTCTGAAGACGATCGTCAATTGCCACAAGTTGAAAATGTTTTGCCCCTACTAAAACGTGGCATTGGTATACATCATGGAGGACTTTTACCGATCCTAAAAGAAATTATTGAAATTTTGTTTGGCGAGGGCTTGCTTAAGGCACTTTTTGCTACGGAAACCTTTGCCATGGGTTTGAACATGCCTGCCCGTACAGTACTTTTTACAGCGCCGCGAAAATTCGATGGTAAAAATTTTAGGTATGAGGAAAAAAATAATGAATGCTTAAAATAAATTGCTAATTAAATTACTTATTCAAAAGGTGGATTTCTTCCGGTGAATACATCCAAATGGCAGGGCGAGCTGGCCGACGTGGTCTCGATGATAAAGGTATCGTTATTTTAATGATTGACGAAAAAGTGTCACCATCCATTGGACGAGGGATTGTACAAGGAAAAGCTGACCCCATAAACTCTGCATTTCACTTAACCTACAATATGGTGCTGAATTTGCTGCGTGTAGAAGAAATCAATCCCGAATATATGTTAGAACGTTCATTCTTTCAGTTTCAAAATCAGTCGTCCATACCTGAACTTTACAAACAAGTTCAAAACAAACAAAATGAGTTGGCAAAATTAAAAATCAGCGAAGAACATAGCGTTGCGTCCTATCACCATATACGCGAACAACTCGATTCTTATGGCAAACAGTTTAAACGCTGGATTACAAAACCTGAATATCTGGTGCCTTTCTTACAACCAGGTCGTTTGATAAAGGTTCTGAATGAAAAGGATGAATTCGATTGGGGTATTATAGTGAATTTTAAAAAGCAAACAAATAATGCCAAAAATCCACTGAAAGCTGAGACAGTAGTGGTAGTCGATGTTTTGTTACATGTTACTGAGGATTCGGCAAAGGCCGATGAGCCAAAACCATGCAAGCCAGGCCAAAAGGGCAATATGGAAGTTATTCCCGTGCTACACTCACTTATATCACAGATTTCGTCTCTTCGTGTTTATTATCCAAATGACTTGCGCCCGGCAGATAATCGCCGAAGTGTTCTGAAAACGATTGCTGAAGTGAAAAAGCGTTTTCCAAAAGGTCCGCCACTTCTCAATCCTATTACCGATATGAATATAAAAAGTGATGAATTTAAACTGGTTGTAGACTCCATAGATAAGTTCGAAGAACGACTGTTCGCACATCCTCTACATAATTCTTCTGATTTGGAGAAGATTTACGAACGTTATACACAGAAGTTAAAGGTGCAGGAAGATCTAAAGGCAGTTAAAACAAAACTGAAAGAGGCACGTAGTTTATTACAGATGGATGAGCTGAAGCATCGGAAGCGTGTACTACGCCGAATGGAGTATTGTACAGCTGCTGATGTGATAGAGTTTAAAGGAAGAGTTGCTTGCGAATTAAGCTCAGCAGATGAACTTCTTTTAACTGAAATGATATTCAACGGAATATTTAATGACATTACTACAGCACAGTCAGTGGCATTGTTATCATGCTTCGTTTGCGACGAAAAGTCTTCAGAAACTCCCAAGGCGACTGAAGAGCTTTCAGGTCCACTGCGGTCAATGCAAGACTTGGCACGTCGCATTGCGAAAATCTCGACAGAATGTAAATTAAATATGGACGAGGAATCGTATGTGGAAAAATTTAAACCTTTTCTTATGGACGTAGTTTTGGCGTGGTGTAAGGGGGCTTCGTTTTTAAGCGTATGCAGAATGACGGACATTTTTGAAGGCTCAATAATTCGATGTATGCGACGTCTGGAAGAATTATTAAGACAATTGTGTCAAGCAGCGAAAACAATCGGTAACACAGATTTAGAAAACAAGTTCTCTGAAGGTGTGCGAATACTAAAAAGAGATATTGTGTTTGCGGCATCGTTGTATTTATAAATATCAATTCTTACGCATAGTAATTTAGATTTATTAATTATTTTCGTATGATGTCCTACAGCAAAAGAGCAAATATGCAATGCATACATATTATATTATATATGGATGTTCTTCGTTATACGTTCATATGTACATAAATAAAAACACGACATGCATATAAAACTAAAAGATATTCTTCTTTCGGAAATTTGTTTTGATTTGTGTATGTTTAGTAGAAAGTTAGAGATGTCATATATGCCATGAAGTCCAAGAAGGGGACTATTTGATGTCAAGTGTTAGTGTCCTGTTAAGGTTATTTGTTGTTGCAGCAAGTACCTAAGCCCTGTTTAAGGGACAGTTCAAAGCCAACTGTCATCGAAATCACTTAGCGGGTGGTCCAGAAAACGGGCTGTTTCGACGGGGTCGGACAAAAGAGAAGCGCATTATGTCCTTTAACCGGAAGCATGTGGACCTCGCTTTGAAGGGACCTTATGTAATAAGTAGGCCCGAGTGCGGTGTTCTGACATATCTGTATCTTCAGAGTCCTGCTATATCCAGGTGGCCATATAAACCTGCGTACCATAATATATGATCGTTTGGCCGAGTGCCTGGTTAGTGGCTAGCAATGTTTTTTTGTCCTTGGCTCAGGTGCTACTGGCTAGCGGCTTAATGATCCTGTTGCGGCTCTGTATTATTGTAATGAACGCGGTCGTGTGTGGAATGAAGGAATACTTGTACATACTATCAAACGTGACACCCTAAATTTTGTGGAATGACGAGTTGGGTCGATTTAGCCATGTCCGTCTGTCCATCCGTCTGCATATACGTGAACTTGTCCCTCAGTTTTTGAAATATCGTTTTGAAACTATGCACAAGTTCTTTTCTTTCCAAGAAGCTCATTAGTCGGAACCGCCAATATCGGACCACTATAGCATATAGCTGTCATACAAATTGATCGATCGCAATCAAGTAATTGTATGGAAAGCCTTTCCATTTGACGAGATATCTTCCTGAAATTTGGCATGGTGTATTGTCAAAGTAGGAGTGCTGCCCCTTCGGGCTCAATTAGCGCTGGATGCGCCATTTTGATGCACTATCGTCGGACCTCTATAATCTTGCTGTCTCATTTCATCATTTGTGTATGTCCGCTATGCTTTTTGTGGAGAGCCATTTAAGATATGGTGCTTGATGAGTTCCAAATGTTCTGTGTCTACTTTAGAGCTGGGCATTCCCAGAGAAAGTGGAAACCAGTTTCCTTATTCCTTAGGAACATCTTGATGTAAAATGCGCTTGTGAATGTTGTGTACACTCTTCTTTTTATTTAGTTAACCATTTAGATGCACTAATCATTTCCACCGAAACAAATTTAAATTTAATTTTATCCGAATACAAAAGCGATGAGGAAAAGAATGTACATAGGATTTCGCCGTCTGCGCCAATCCAAAAGGAGTCCGAAACCAGTTTCGATCGAAGTGTGTTCGAATAGAATAGCGCACAGGATCG